AAAAAAAAAAAAAAAAAAAGACAATATAAAAGAAATAAGATATGAATAAGGATATAGTTAAGTTTTTTTAATGACAAAGCTTGTGAATTTATGTGGATAAATTTGAAATTTTAGTTATTTTTTAAATGAGGATCGTTGTGTGTATATAAAATAACACTAAATCTGAATCTTTTTTAAAATCTACTCCCAAGTAATCCACCAGATCTAAATGGCTTATGATGTGGTCTGTTAAACCTTCAAGAAACAATCTTTTTAAATATAGCAGTAGACAATTTTTAGAAAGGGGGAAGGATGGGGGAAGCTCAACTATGATACTAAAGTCAAATGGGATATGTGAGGGAAAAAATACTATACTTCAGTCTCTTATGAACATGGCTGAACTAGCCTGAGTATTAGCATTTCAAATTTACCAATTAAAATTCACTCATTGTGACAAAGTAAAATTTATTGCCAAAGTGGGAGAATGGTATGCATTGGAAAAACTTTTCATATAATATGCACATTAATAGATTAAAGAGAAAAATCATATTATCATCTCAGTGAATGCAGGAGGAAACAACAAAGTGCAACACTCATTTAAAAAATCAACCAAATGGGGCTTCCCTGGTGGCGCAGTGGTTGAGAATCTGCCTGCCAGTGCAGGAGACACGGGTTCGAGCCCTGGTCTGGGAAGATCCCACATGCCGCAGAGCAACTAGAGTCCGTGAGCCACAACTACTGAGCCTGCGTGTCTGGAGCCTGTGCTTCGCAACAAGAGAGGCTGCGATAGTGAGAGGCCCGCGTGCCGCGATGAAGAGTGGCCCCCGCTCGCCGCAACTGGAGAAAGCCCTCGCACAGAAACGAAGACCCAACACAGCCAAAAATAAATAAATAAATTCATTAATTAAAAAAAAAAATCAAATGAAACATCCTCTTGGTAGATTATGAATAGACAGAAGCTTCCTTAGTATGATAAACGATAACTAAAAACCCATGTTTAACATGACGAGTTAATGGTATAACTTCAGAGATGTTCCTTTAAAGTCAGCAATAGGACAAGGATGGCTATTGTGCATCTGTTTCACATTGCACTGAGATCTTGTCCAGTGCAGTAAGATTAAAAGAAGAAATAGGCATATGGATTGGAAAGTAAGAAACAGTTACTGTTAGTGGGCAAGAAAATTATTTGAAAGTTCAAGGGAAATTACAAAGTATTATAACTAATATGAAAGTTGAGGGTTTGGGGATATAAGACCAATATGCAAGAATAAGTAGTGCTCGTTTCCACTCGAAACAGTCTATTTAGGGTCTTCCCTGGTGGCTCAGTGGTTAAGAATCCGCCTACCAATGCAGGGGACGGGTTCGAGCCAGGGTCTGGGAAGATCCCATATACCGCGGAGCAACTAAGCCCGCGCGCCACAACTACTGAGCCTGCGCTCTAGAGCCCGCGAGCCACAACTTTTTTTTCATTAGTAAAATTGAAATTACACATTGTTTATAACAACAGTTCCACATGTAAGTCTTTTTAGAACACTAAAGTTCTGCATCATACTTAGGTTTAGAAATTATTGAACATTTGAAGCTTGTTATAGACATTTGTAGCAGGGAAGTAGAAGATTGAAGTGCTTTTTCCAAAATCTGGGAAATCACACTGATGTTTTCATTGATTAAAAAAAAAATTAGCTCTTGACAGAAAAAAAGTCTAATATTTTTTGTTTTAAATCCAGCTACCTTTGAAGATATTAACAATAAATACAGTTTGTGAACTACCAGTGTCTCCTACATTGGTCATGCTTTGACTTTCCACAATTATGTAAGACATTGCATAACTTTGACATTCATTCAGATGAAGGTTACAGTTCAGATTAAGAGAAAATATTTGTACAAATTAATTTGACAAAAGAAGTTCCTTCACATGTAATAGCAGAATAACACAACAGAGCAACATGTTGCTTGTGATAAAATATGTATACTCAAATTTAATATCTCTTTGAGACCTTTGCTTTAATCTGTTAGTATCTAACACAGATTTTATATTTAGTTCACTAGTTGTAAATTCACTTTCCTTATTAAGAAAGGCTGAGATTTTATAGTCCTACATCTAAATACATTTTTATTTTATTTATTTATTTTTTATAAATTTATTTCTATTTATTTTTTTTGGCTGCACTGGGTCTCTGTTGCTGTGCACGGGCTTTCTCCAGTTGCGGCGAGCAGGGGCTACTCCTCGTTGCTGTGCGCGGGCTTCTCATTGTGGTGTCTTCTCTTGTTGCAGAGCATGGGCTCTAGGCACGTGGGCTTCAGTAGTTGAGGCACGCAGGCTCAGTAGTTGTGGCTCACGGGCTCCAGAGTGCAGGCTCAGTAGTTGTGGCACATGGGCTTAGTTGCTCCACGGCATGTGGGATCTTCCCGGACCAGGGCTCGAACCCGTGTCCCCTGCATTGGCAGGCAGATTCTTAACCACTGTGCCACCAGGGAAGCCCTAAATACATAATTTGTAAGTCCAAGTGATAAGCATTATAGATTGATTTCCTTTTTAAAGAGTCACATATTTCTAATTTCATGTTTTTATTTCTGAAAGAAGTTACCTATGTCATTATTCCCACAATATGTTGTGTATTTATACGCTAAGACATCCATAGAGATGTTTCTTACAGCAATGTTTGAAGTAACGGGGAAAAAAAAGTAACTTACATGACCCTGGCACTAGAGTCTCCAGTCAAATCAAGTCTATGGCCCGTAAGCTAAGAATGGTTTTTACAGGTGTGCAGTGAAGGACTTAGCAAGTCTGGCTTACTCAAACCCTGCACATTCCAAAGATAAGTCTGCCCGTTGACCAAGTCCCTGGGGGATAACCTTTAAGCTCTTGGAATATCCTGCCTTCTTTGAGTGCCTGTGTTTACCTGGGGCCTTGAGCCACATCAGATAGATTATTCTAACAGTGATTTCTGGTGGGGGCATTGCAGTACGCAGGATCAGTTTGATCTCTGGAGGAGCTGGAAACTGAATAACTAAGGTCAGCCACGTGGATGCTCCATGCCTGTGAGACCTGACCCTCACTGAAAGCCCCGGGCATGAAGTCTCAGGTGAGTTTCCCCAGTTGACAAGAGTCTATATGTGTTGTCCCACGTCATTTCTGGGAGAATTAACTGCTGTCTGTCCACGCACCGTCTCCAGAGAGGACACCTGGAAGCTTGTGCCTGGTCTCCTGGACTCTTCCCTATGTGCCTTTTACATTCGCTGATTTTAACCTGTACCGTTTTGCTATAAATTGTATCTGTCAGCATAACCACTTTCCTGACTTCTGTGAGTCATTGAACTAGAGGGTGGTCTTGGAGACCTTGACACAACATTAATTAAAGGATTCTTTTTTACAAAACTAATATGCGGGGGCTTCCCTGGTGGTGCAGTGGTTAAGAATCCGCCTGCCAATGCAGGGGACACAGGTTCGAGCCCTGGTCCGGGAAGATCTTAGGATCTTAAGTAATCATCAAATAAGAAAATGGTTTTTTAAATGCTTTGTAAACTGTAAATTAGGGTAAAGTGGTACTAATGTGAACCACACTGAATTCAGGTTTCTAGTATATAAAATTTAATGATACCTTCCCTACCAACATTCAGGGAGTTACTGGGAGAATCAAATGAGATAATAAATGTTAAGAAACCTTTTATAAATGTCAAAATACTATGTAAATGAGTCTTATAAAAAAGTATTACCATCACCCTGGCTGTGATGACACTCATGTGGGCTAATTATAATTGTGAAGGGAAAAAAAAACAAAACATGTTTTCTTGGTTTCCTGAGACCAGAGGTGAGCCGTCAGCTATGAATAAGGAAAAGTGATTAACATTCATCTAGCTCTGTCTTTGTAGTCCATACGAGGTTACATGAGAGATGAAAGAAGACTAAAACACAGCTCATGCCCTTCTTTTCAATTCAACATTTATTGAGCACCTACTATGTGTAGATGGGGGGGGTTGCCAAGAACTTGGTATATTAATTGTCCTCATATTTGCCTGACGAGGTATTATCCTTGTTTCTCACTGAGGCCCAGAGAAGTTAACTCAAAATTGAATAGATCCAGAGCTAGCGTTTGAACCCATTGTTTCTGGCTTCAAAACACGTTTTGAAAAACAACCTACAAGGACTTCCCTGGTGGCGCAGTGGTTAAGAATCCACCTGCCAATGCTGGGGACACGGGTTCGAGCCCTGGTCCAGGAAGATCCCACATGCTGCTGAGCAGCTAAGCCCATGCACCGCAACTACTGAGCCTGTGCTCTAGAGCCCGCAGGCCACAACTACTGAGCCCACGTGCCGCAACTACTGAAGCCCGCGTGCATAGAGCCCATGCTCCACAACAAGAGAAGCCACCGCAATGAGAAGCCCATGCACTGCAACAAAGAGTAGCCCCTGCTTGCTACAACTAGAGAAATCCCGTGCATAGCAATGAAGACCCAATGCAGCTAAAAAATTAATTAATTAATTTAAAAAAGAGAAAAGAAAAAAAACAACCTACAAGAAAGCTAGGATCCAAAAGTTAAATGGTTTGGGGAAGGGAAACAATAGTAGAGGAGATAAGTGAAAGAAGACACTAGTGTGGGCAGGGGAGCAGTTAGGAGAGGCTTTTCGAAACAGGTAGGACTTTTAGGTAGCCCTGGAGGATAGCTGGAAATAGGAAGGTGAAGAAGAATGAACATTGTCAGCAAGGGAAAGTGGTAACTATGGTGACCACTTACTGGGTTCCCTACCTAGTTGTGCCCAACAGTGTGCGCCTTTGGCATGAGAACACGCACAAGGTGTGCTGACTCTGCGGTCAGTTGGTTCCAGGACAAGAAATAGGCGTGGGTAAATGGGGGAGTTACTGAGGCAGCAGGGAGGAATGACGGAAGATTCTTCTCATTTCCAGAAGTCAAGAACAAGGCCCAGCCTCAAGGTCAGGACAGAGCCTATGCTGTAACTCTCATAATTTTGTAAACACACCACATCAGAGAACCATGTAAACATTTTGTGGATGGCAGCCGACTTGAGTGTTTGCTTAAGTCTGTCATTTTATTTTTTAATTTATTTTTTCTTCCAGTTTTATTGAGGTATAATTGACGTCCAGCTCTGTATGAGTTTAAGATGTACAGCATAATGACTTGACTTACATATACTGTGAAATGATAATGACAATAAGTTTAGTTAACATCCCTCATATCCTATAAATACAAAAAACAAAAAAAACCAAGCTTTTTCCTTGAGAACTTTTAGGATCTACAGTCTTAGCAACTTTCAATATACCATACAGCAGTGTTAGCTATACACTGTACATTGCATCCCCAGTACTTATTTATCTCATAAGGGAAAGTTTGTACCTTTTAAAAAATCCTGTATAAAGTAGTTATTGATGTGGGGTGGACAGGGGTTGGGGTTTGGAAACACTGGGGTAGAATTCAGTAGACCTGGATACTATACCTTTTCCCTTAGCATGAGTCACTGATTATATGCATTTATTATATGAGTGTAGTGAGCCTCAGTCACGTGTTCTACCTTTTGGGTCATGAATATAAAATAACCAATGTATGAATACTTGGAAATATATGAAGTTTGATGTAGATGTTGAGTTCCATGTTCCAGCAGCACTGACATCATTCCTATTGCAAAGATGATAATAGGGCATTTATCATAATGTGCTCTAATATGGTTTTAAAGGCTTTCCCCCCTAACTTTAAAAGGCTTATGGGGGGCTTCCCTGGTGGCGCAGTGGTTAAGAACCCGCCTGCCAATGCAGGGGACACGGGTTCGAGCCCTGGTCTGGGAAGATCTCACATGCCGCGGCAGAGCAACTAAACCCGTGCACCACAACTACTGAGCCTGTGCTCTAGAGCCCGCGAGCCACAACTGCTGAGCCCACGTGCCACAACTACTGAAGCCTGTGTGCCTAGAGCCTGTGCTCTGCAACAAGAGAAGCCACCGCAGTGAGAAGCCCACGCACCGCCACAAAGACCCAGCGCAGCCTAAAATAAATAAATTTATTTTTTAAAAAGGCTTATAAAATAGGTATCTATATTTTTCATTTTGTTTGGCAACAACTTTTAAAGAGAACTAAATCATGTTCTGGCAGCCCGACTTTCCAAGTAAAAGTGGTACCTGGAGCCAAGGAAAACCTCACTTTGGACATAAGGCACTGCGAGTGTTGTAACTGCTCAATTTTTAGGTTTTTAATGACCATATTAATGAAAGCATAGATGGTAAATTCCCCCACCCTGTGTGTTCTCTGCTGGTTACCGGAGTCAGGAGGGTATGTGAGTTACCAAATGAGTAGATTCCTTCACCTACAGTGTATACTGCACTGTGTTTACCTGTCTAGCAGTGCTTTGTTACATTTTAACCCATATTCTACCAGCCAGCTTTCTTTATTTTTGTTGTTTTTGTTTGTTTGTTTTTTCCACCAGCCAGTTTTGTCAGATTTCACTTCTTGTAGCTTGTATTGTTAAAAACAGCCCATAGGTTTTTCATGATCTAAACTTGTGTTGAGACTCATTCCTGCTGAGATTCACTGTCCTGTGGGGAATGAGACAGAAGCGAGACCGTCTCTGTCACTCAAGCTTCTGCACATTGGAGGCGAAGGACCATACTTCTTGACTTAGCACAGACGCTTCATTATCTAGACCAGTGGTTTTCAAATATTTCTTATAACGGAACATATTCTTTAAAAAGAAATCTTTCACCAAAGCCCAACATACGGCACATGCCTGTGAGCCCACCTGCTAGGCTGCTTCCCCAGTCGTCCCTCGCAGCATGGGAAGGGCACGGCTTGGCCGCCATTAGTGTAAGGCCACCTTCCTCGCTCTCTGCTTTGGCCACTGGCCTCAGCGAATTCTCCAATGCAGCCATTCTTAACCACGTCCACTTCTCCAGAGGGTCCTTCTGTTTTGCAGTCCTGTGCCTTTGCATATGCTGTTCTTCTACTGGGAGTGCTCCCACACCCTCCTGAATCTTTATTTTAATGGCATTTACTCATTCTTGATACGATCTTTTCCTAGAAGTCTTCCCTGATATCCTTGTCTGGGCATCCAGACCATTCACTTCATTCCTCTATCATAGAGGTTACTACACTGTAACAGTTCATTTGTTTGTCCAACTCTCCCACATTTCAGGTGTGGTGTTTTTGCTTTTTTGTTTTTTAATTTTTGGCCACATCCCATGGCATATGGGATCTTAGTTCCCCAACCGGGATCGAATCCGCACCCCAGTGGCCGCAGTGGAAGGCAGAGTCTTAACCACTGGACCACCTGGGAAGGCCCCCTGCAGGTGTGTTCTTTTTGAGGGCAGGAACACATTCTTATTTGATCTTCGGCCTCTTTTGTTAGCACGTGGTTGGTAAGGTAATGAATAACGTTTACTGGATGGATGGATGGATGGATGGGTGGGTGGGTGGGTGGACGGACAGCCAGGAGTATGGACAGGTAGAAGAAGGAACTTACCAACAGACTAAGTGAATGAAGTGTCCCAATACCTTGAACCAAGCAGGGGGAGTAGAAGGAACTGACACGAGAATTCTCTTCCTATGGCCAGCTGCTTTGGAATTTGTGTGCAGATTAAGAGTGGACCTGACACCACTTCCCAGAATACAGTCATCACCGGGTTAGCCCTAGGGGACAGTCCAGCATGAGTCATATGCCTTCTTTCCATATCTGGTGCCGTGTATTTATAGCTAATGATGGTGGTTTGTCACTTGTTAAACAGCACAAGAAAAATGACTGCAGGAAGGCCAAGCAAAAGACTAATGGAAATGGTTTTAATAATTAATTTTTAAGAGGCATGCAAATGACAGTTCAGCTGGGAAGCTATAGAAACATGTAAGCTGAAATTTCAGCTGAAGGATGCTGCTCTTTGGTTAGTTCTGAGGTTAAATGGGGATAATTTGAAAGCTGGCAGGAAGAAGGCCAGTGATACATCGTTTTGCCTGCTTTTTATTTTTTTTCCTTTTACACAGCAAATCATATCCTTGAAAGGAAGAGTGTTCTACATTTGAGTTCTAGACGATGATGAGAGTCAATGAAACATGGAACGGCATGAATTGGAAGCTGTGTTACCTAATGT